ATCCGCAAGTATTGCGGATGTTAAGCTATTGATTTACCTGATTTAAATTATTGTGAATTGCTTGTAGCCTCTTTTTGAAAGGTGATTTAATAGCGTTTTGTCAAGTTAATAAATTACCTCCTAAAATGCTATGTGCATCGAGTAGCTTTACAGATTAGTTACACTAAGAGGTTTTAAATGATATTGAACTAATCGACCTTCTTAATGTTGACCAGGTAATGCGGAATGTGTTTTTATATGTTAATTTTATGATAATTTGATATCTCACAAAGATTTTAATAGTGGCAAGATATAATAAGGTGTTATTATTATCGTCAGAGATATACAGAGTGCTTGCGTTAGAGAGGGTGGAGAATATGAAAATATATTCATTTCACATAACTTCGAGGTTTTGGGTCTCTCTAAATTGCCCAATGAGAAACATTATTTATATTTAAGAAGGAAAGATAAAATAGAACATATAAAAGTAGGAAATTTAGATTACTTTTGGCTATATTCATTTAAAGGTTTTTCATGTAGAATAATTGGGTTTCGAAGAATCCCTTAGTAGATTCAGGTTGGAATACCTATCGTTCCCTTGAAGAGGCGAATAAAAGGGTTGCTTATACCGGACACTTTGGGGGGCTGCCTTAGAGCTGTGGCTGTTGATTTGTGTGAATAGCTCATCGACACTTTTCCATGCGACTCCGATGTATACTTGCGGAGCTTTCGTCCGTCATGTGACGCAGATTGTAAAAGCAGGACACCATGGTTAGCGATAATTCAACAAAAAAACGAAGGCAAGAAATGTGGCCTACTTCAAACATACTTCTTTCTCATATTCCAATTTGGTTTATTTATACATCTAATGTTCTAGTTGGATGTCCTATGCTTTGCCTCTATATGTGTTGATAGGTTAAGTTAAGTGGCTGCGGATAAGGCATAGACTGGGTGCAATTGAAACCGAACAGCTGCATCCTCCCGAAAAACAGTTATGCCTTTTATCCTCCAATGTTACCACGTTTGATTATATCCCATTGCACACATGCTGTGTGAATGCATTTCTCTTGAAATGAGTGTGATGTGAGAGTCAAAACCCAATTACATCTTAACCAAGCCTCTTCATCTTGTTCCGTGCTACTTCTCGTTGCCCCTCTTCTCTCTCTAAACCTCTCGAACAGCAACAAATAGTTTCCGCGTAACTTCCTACACTCATTCCTTCTATTTAGGATGTTGGCTGTTTTATTGATTTCTATCGCCTCCATAATCTTTCGCTTACTGGTATAGTCTAAATATCAAGATAAGCGTTTGGCATTAGACTAATCTATCTGGAGTTCTGTTCGCGCCAAGTCTTCGGCCAATTCCGATTTGTGGACCCGCACACCCCTGCATGCTGTTTTGTGTTCGGATAACCTCTTATGTATGGATCTACAGGTCTCTTATACATAAATACTACCAAATTTACACAAAATCTTTTAACAGCCTGATCTGTAGAGCGGATAAGAGTATTCTTAAATATACCGCAATACTGAAGACAGCGTTATTTTACCTTTATAAATGATCTTGTTTCTTACCTCAGTAATTCACTTATCTTTTTCGACACATTACACAATGGCAGCATAAGGATCCTGGTAGAGTGACCTATCTTTTCATCTAGCTCCAAATATGTATTTCCCTTTGTTATATTCAACAATTTTCTAAAATAGTTGTGACCCGCCTTCAAGGATAATTATTCTCAGCCAGAATTCGCCTTAGTCTTCTCTATTCCCTGTCCCGATGTTAAATATATATCAGACGCAGGCTCCTTATTACCATAGGCTTCATAACTCCTGTGTCTGGGCAAGAAATTCATAATGAAACCTACACTGACAATGCAATTAACAGCCACTTAACTTGATTTTCAAGCAAAGACTTAGGCAAATCATTGGTGATCCGGCCAAAATATAACATGCCTAAGTAGACCAAATTAGACTACACGAACTAGGTAGGTACGAAGCCAGCCACTTTACTTGCCTCCGTGTTTTTTATGAATTATCTTTAAGCATGGTGACCCGCCCTAAAGATATCCGTCTTATGACGAACGAAAGTTTACCAAGGACTCATCAGGTTTGCAGAGCTGTGCAAATAGTACCTATTCGTATAAATCTACAACCACAGCTCTAAGGTAATACCCCTACAACTAGCTTACGAATATTGCATGTAATTTAATTTAGTATGAAAGGGTATGAAAAAGAGATTCAAAAGAGATTCACCAGAAGATAAAGGTTGAATCCCCTTGTACTACAGCCATTTGGCTTGTATATAGGAAGTTGAGTTTGACGCATTCCACGAGACCTCTCGCTTTTCGGCTGAAAATAGATTAAGATTTCTTCAATCATATGATGGACAGCCTGATAATATTCTTGTCTTAATGTTAACTTGAGAATTTTACAATAATGAGTCCCAACTCAGATAATGTAAATCACATGATGGACGAAATATCAGCCCGTTTTCACCTTAAAAGTGCGAGTAGGTCTCGTTGACTGTATCAATCTCAACATCATATAAAAGCCAAACGACTTAAGTCAACGAAATTCAACTCTCCTCTTCTATTGAGATCGACCTTCACATATCTCCTATACACACTTACATACGAAATGAAAGTCTAAGCAATAAAGTTATCTCACGAGATTATTCTCAACCCATTACTCTAAATATCTACGACTTACGAATCCATTTCACTCGCCTCTTCAAACGAATTGAAGGAAGATTCTCCAAGACTCGGTTTTTCTATATACCTATGTCTCTGATTTCTATAGGATGTCTATTGTACTCATATATGAGGTTTACGCGGTATCATAATTAATTAATGAAGTAACCTGTTTATTACATGTAACATTTATTAAATTAGGAAATACTATTATTTTCGACAAAAAGAGTAACTAGATTTGCTGAGATAACATTGTTGGGGAGACCCTAATTTCGTATGAAAGTGCATAAAGCAGGGATTCGTAGGTTAAGCTCAGCAGAAAGCGACGGTTGAATGCCACTGTAGTGTAGCCTTTTTGGCTTAAATACGATGTTAAGATGGACACAGTCTATGATTTATCCGTCCTCGCTTAGGGGGAAAACGGGCTGAGAATCCAACCATAATATTTTCGGTATTCTCAGAGCAAGAAGTCAGTTTTGCAAAGGTCTCACGTTAACTCTAAGTTAGAAAGACTGTTTGGTCTTCATTATCCTAAATTTATTATTTGTTTGTGTTGGAAAATTCTAGAAATGCGCTCCTTTAAGCTGGTTTCGGATGTGTTTCAATCGTCAGGCTGGTTTGATTTCTTACTTTTTGATATCACTTGGACTTTTTTATACTTAAAATACTTTATTTAACTCGTATTATAATCTTCCTCAGGAACTCATAAATCCGTTTATTACTTAATTGGGTGACTGATTTTATGTAGCTCCAGTCTATATCTAAATTTCAGGCTAATAATTGTTTCGATTATCATGGCAGAAGAGTCCAAGCAAGATGCGTTTAACCAAATCTCCCTGATAATATGACTACGTTTTAAAAACGAAATGACACCAAGACTATACTGTGAAAGAAGACTTAAAACAAACTATAAGAACGACCATATTAGTCTTCATGTCTGCAATGAATTTAGTAGCATGAAAGTACTAGAGAAGGTAAAATATAATAATGAAATTTAAATATTAGCGTGAAATGGTGGTATCAGGATCTAGTTGAAGCCTAAGGGTATACAATTTATATCAAGAAGGCTTCACTAAATAAATATAAGTCAAAAGGATAGTGTAAAAACTATTTCTATGCTTTTTTAACTATAACATAATATTTTTAACAAGAATTTAGCTTTTCAGAAATAGTCGAAGTTAATTACCAGTGTTGTGATCGATTCAAAGGATGTGACAAATCAGCACGAATACCAAACAAAGAAATGGTTTAATGTGATGATAATAAATCTAAATATTATTGGTCTTTTCTACTAGATCTGCTATACTAGAGTAGATATATATTAGCAATCCTGTAAGCGAAGCAATATAAGCTCTAGAATAAGCATGGGATCAAATCCCAGATGACTTGGAATAACAAATTTGGGTGCTTATTTTAATTTAAATGGTAACTTGTATAACCAAACTTAAAACATAGCTCTTGGGTCGTGTTAGTCCTTAATTTTGGCAAATGATAACATGACTTAATTAAAGATTAGCCTAATACAGAATTATCTGACCTTATCTACAGATTGTGTCTCTGCATTAGCGTCAACTTGATGCAGCCTGCAAGCACTGTAAGACAAACGCAGCCCACATATGACACCAGATAGACTTATCTTATGTAAACGCTTAGTTGGATATAAAGAATATACAAGTAAGTGGAATATTAGGGAGTACATTCGAAATAATTAAGGAGCCAACACCTTGAGTAGAATGAATGAGCGTATATAGGTAATTGGAAATTATTTGTGGCTATTAAATAGGATTGCAGAAAGAGAGATAAAGATAGGAAACAATGAATGCTGTCTTGCATTAGGATGCCTAATTAGCTTCAAATCTGGTGTTTGCTTTCTTACCTCACGCTTTATGCGAGTATTGCATACACACAATACAAGGGCAATATAAAGTAATAACACGCCACAGCATAAAAGAATAAAAATATAAGTAATTTATTAAAGGATTGAACTGTTCAGTCACAGGTTCAGCTTAAGTCACTTCACCTGCTATCCTCAGATATTTTAATTTTCAACAAGCATATGGGAAGGGCATAGGTTAATTAAAGAAAATATAAGATGCTAATGATGTGGACAAATTTAGAATAACATAAGTAGTTAGGTTTGCAGACATCCACTTTTCATGTATTTGTGTTTTGCATATTAATAGAAAAGCATGGTGTTTCTCTTTGACCATATCTGTTACATGACGGACGAAAACTCATCAGAAATTAATAGGGTTGCGGTTCTTCTGAGATATATTTCCACAAATCTACACTCACCGTTACGAATAATCCACTCTTTAGCTTCTGGTAAGGCCAGCTCATGTATACTTTCTACTCGCCTCTTAGATATAAATAAAACGTATCCTCATATTTGCTTGAAATTCTTTGTTGATCAATGCGTAACAGTCAGGTTATATTATTGTTTATTTATCCATGTATATACGATACAAATATAGGAAATACTGAAATGTAACAGTATACTTTAAAATATCTACTCATTTATATTTTTACTTTATTTCCTGGTAGGGTTATCCTTAAGTTCCTAATTAGGTAATTAGTATGGACATGCTAATTAATATTGCTTAAAAAATTAAAATAGATGATTAAGTAATATATTAAACCTAACAAAAATATTATTCGTATGCTTTTACTACTAAATATTTAATATTATCTTTACAAAATTTATTAAATTTAGGATTGTTTAACTCAATTAATTGTATTTGTATATGTTCTATCCCATATTTGCGCGAATATGTTTACCTCTGAAGCTCGTTTTATTCACTCCTACCTTGAAAAGAGGTCAGGGGAAAAACCTGCTCCTCTTACGTTTAATGCTAAATCAATAGCAATTCATGTATTAATTTTTATTTATTTGATTTTTATTTTAGGCTTATGATCATTTGCGATGTCACTACTTGTTGCCTCATGCTGAGGAGCTAGTAAAGCTTATGGCTAGGCCTCACATGAAGGTTTATCTCTTTTATTTTTTATTTTAAGTCTCTTTTATTATGTCATGATGCTGTTGCAAACAAAGCATATGAGCCTAAGCTTCGTGAAATTCCTTTTGAAGTCGATGAAGATGATATTTGTGTCAAAGTATGACCTATAACCTAATAGATTAGATTGTAAATATTATTAAAGCGAATGAACGCTTAGGAGCTACAGTTAAAGTTAATAATGTATCGGAACCTTTGGCAGTTGCTCGTGTTATGCATGGCGGTGCGGCTGATCGAAGTGGTACTAAGATTCTTTCATTTGTTTTACCATCTACGATTAATATTTCCAGCAACCATCGAAGTTGGAGACAGCATTCAAGAGATTGATTATGTATCTATATCC